TTTTTTTGCATTTGTATATAATTGTTTGCTCTGTGTGTGTGTGTGTATGAATACTCGTAGGGAGACCTGAATTCTTTTAGACTTTTAAAATAAATTTTGTTTTATAAGAAAGTTTGATTAATAAAAAGCAGTTTTGAGTCTCAAGTGATTCAGAGGAATGAAGCATGTACATTGACTTCCAAAAGTTAAGCACGAAGATGTAAAATGCAAAAAAACAACAAATACTGCTTTGATTGACACAAAATTTGGCAGGAAAGTAACATATATATTTTATGCATAAAACAAAATCAATAATTATATACAGAAATGAAAGCAATATTAAATTTTCGTAAATTATCAGATAATGACATACTGGAGACTTAAACAAAATTATGTATAAAGTGAAAATATACAGCATAAAATGAAAAAAAAAGGACATTAATAGGGTATATGATCCCCCACCTCATCTGTATACAAAGTTTACACCTTGTGACCACGCTTTCAATTAGGTGGTCAACAACTGCAGAATTAAACAATCACCATTCTTCTTGTAGAGCAGTTTCCAGCTCAATAAGAGTGGGGAACATGATACAGCACGGCCAAGAGCATCCCAAAGATTTTCAATGGGATTAAGGTCGGGGCGAATATGCTGGCCACGCCATATGCACAATCCCTTCACTCTCCAGGTAGTCATCGACGATGTCAGCTCCATGGGGACGTGTGTTATCGTCCATTAAAACAAAAGTAGGGCCAACTGCTGCAGTGTATGATCTCACAATGGGTTCTAGGACTTCATCTCGATACCGGACAGCCGTCAAAGAATCCTTTTTAAAGATGTGCAAGTCGGTGCGGTATCCTAATGAAATCCCTGCCCACACTATATAGCTTCTGCCTCGGAATGCGTGATGATCGGTGATGTTTTGGGACTGATTGCGTGTTCGTTGTTCATGCCATATCCTTATACACTTGTCATCTGGCTCAGAGCAAATCTTGACTCATCAGTAAACATGTCAGCGCTAATCAGACACATTCCAATCGACCAGGCAATTTCCAGGGCACCACTGTAATCATGCCCCTCTTGACTGGACAAATAGAGGAACACAAACTCGAGGTACCCGGGTGTACAGTCCACTCATATGTAATCTTCAGCGTACAATAGCTGCAGATATTGCCTTGCCAATGGACACTGTAACCGTAGATGTCACCTGTGGAGGTCACCCTGCGATTCCGCTTGGCTACAATAGCAATATATCGATCTTCTAATCAATAGCAATATATCGGAGGTTGTAACCCTTGGGTGACCGGCTACGGGCCTTCGGACAACTGTCTGCGCGGTTTGGAATTTTTTCCATAAACGAGAAATTACTTATAGAATGATGAATGCCCAAGAAAAGAGCAACATCTGTGATCGACTGTCCTGCTTCAATGCGCCCCACAGCACACCAGCGCTCAGGAATCTTCCATTCGTCTTCTGGAAGTCATACAGAAACACGTATGTCTTGAAAACAACTTGTATGAAAGTTTTAAACACCTTCTATCAGCACTTACAATCAATCAATTCTGTAAACCTTTCCTATAAAGCTGGCTTCTTATAAGACTAGCCTTTTTTGCATATTTTTTGACATGAAAGCGCAATTCGCTGTTACCTAACATATTTTGCACACTTCCATCTACCTCTGGCAAGCTAACCTCTGCAGCGAATTGCATCCTTCAATTCTGATTGGCTTCCAGAAATTAGCATTTTCCTCTCCATGCTTAACTTTTGGAAGTGAGTGTATTTGACACTCATTAATCAATTTGGTTTAAAGCTTTAAAATGCTTTTCCCTTGACAAGTTCTGTTTGAAGCATCCAACAGAGAAGATTAATTATTATTTAGTTTTGTAACGTACAGATTTTCTGTATTTTAAATGATTTTTTCTCCTTGTAATTTACATTTTAAGATTATGTTTTTGTCAGTTTCTTTAATTTGCGTTCTTCCAGTTTAGTAATTTTACCGGAGAAGATAGGTTAGACCTTCAAGTTTTAAGAATGGAATTTTATTCATTTTCGTTGCGTTATTTTTGATTTAATATATAAACTTGTAAGTTACAAGAATATACTCGTATATGTTTCCAAATGCCTGGATCCCTAGCAATGTATATATGGGCATTCATTTACTCTTTGATTCAGGGGGGGGGAAATTGTGTTGTTCAGAAAAATCACACCAAAAATATCCAATGACATTATGAAATCATAAATATTTAAAAAAAAAAAAACTACCATAAAGCTAACATACTTAATGAATATTTTCCATAATTTAGTTGACATCAGCTGATCTAAGTTAGACACTAGTATACATAACTTCTCTATGTTATGAGCAATACTACATACAGAGTGAATATCTTCATCAGAATATGCCATTTTATTTGAATCATCTAGTATTAACAACATAGCCTAAACATTCAAAAGAAAGGAATAATTAATGCATGACAATATTAATGTAAAATTTGAAAAAAAAAGAAAAAAAGAAAAATATGCAAAACTACATCAAAACAGATAAATTAAAAATAAAATTATGTATTAAAAATTTATCACAAGGTGATTTATTTTGAACAGCTTTATATATATTTTTATTTAATTTTTTCTATTTTTTCTTCCAATCTCATTACTAAAATACTGTGCAATTACATTATACTTGCATTATGTCTTAGTTATAATGATAACCAAGCTATAATCTAAATTCTCTAATTAAAGGCCTATATTTCACTGACATTCGATAAGATAATAAAACTAACTAAATAACTAATTATATCAACAACAAAAAAAAAAAAAAATAACAAATAGAATAAGGAAATTGGCTCATAACATAATCAAGTGTAATCCCATAATAGCTCACTTCGCTTTTGGAAAATGAGCTCAGGATTCAGTTGTATTAGGTCACATTTAAAACAATTTCACAATTTAATTCTTTTTTAAACCATTAGCAGAGTACACTTTATTTTGTATTTCTGATATTCCCAAAAATTAAAAAAAAAAAAAAAAAAAAAAAAAAAAAATTGTATGTTTACATTATTACAAAAATTTTTAAGATGCACTTAAGCAATATGTTTAGTAAGAAGTGGGTAATTTTATAACATTATATGTCAATCACTGTCTTTTATTCCCGTGTTTAAACCAATGGTTTTGCTATAAATCACTGCAGCACTATTTACTTAGGAAAGTGATTTTCTTACTTTCAGGTTACCAAATATGTAGCCACACTAATAAAACAAATGTATATAATTTTTAAAAACCTACAATTTAGGGCACAATTTTATCTATACCTAATAAGTTAAATCATTTTTAATACTATGAAAAAAAGCAGCTTTCTTTTTATTTTCTATAATAAGTTTCATTTTTATTAAATTATTTCTCTAGAGTAACCAACCTATATTATGCTAATATCAGAGAAAATAGCCTAATTTTTAAGTACAGCAATCACACCCTAGGATAAAATATATGACGATAGTTTACAATAAAAGAAATACAAAGAATGCTTCAAAAATTTGATAATCATGCATAACTAATAATCAGTGGCATATTGCAGTAAGTATAATTACTGTTTGAAGATCCTCTATTTTCTTGAAAAAATAACCTAAGTGGTGTGCAAAATCTTCAAGTAAGTTACCATATATCTGTTCACTTTCCTAAAAAGAAAACAAAAATGAAACAAAGCAGTTTAAAACTTAATGAAAAATCTAATGTTTATTTGGTAATAAAACTCAGTTAAATAAATAAATGCATATTTGTTTTCTAAATATTCAAAACTTTTTACCAAAACATTTTAGAACATGGTAATAAATGCTTCAATTTATACTCCAATTCACAATTTCTGGATATCAAGAAAATATTTTTATATGAATGCTTTATATTAAACAACTTTAAAATAACTGCACTAAATAAAACTGATGTCATTATTAGTCAGTAATGTTTTGCATCAAAATAGATTTTTTAAATCATAATGAAGGTATAAAATTAGGCTAATAAATTTAGCCACTTATAGTTCTTGGAACATATTTATAAATTACATTACATACACATATAATTCTTAGAACATATTTAGAAGTTACATAACATAAAGTAAACCTTGCAGAGCATGGATTTGTGGAACACAATTTTTCACATATGCATGATCTTAATTGTTTGTATTAATTTGTTCAATACTTGGATTTCATTCCTATATGGAACACTACAGGGGACTACCTACATTACCACAGAAATCTACTCTTTATAAGAGAACTCACCATGGGCACATATGGGAACCCTGCTTGGCACTTTACATTAACTCTGAGTGACCCAAGCCAGGTTGTGATCATTTCATTCAGATTAGTAGAGTTTTAAACACATAATTATCAACTTGTATTTTCTCCTTTTGAAGCTGTACTTCTTATTTTTAAAATTCATTATGCCATCTAAGACAAAGAATGAAGATGACAAAGCAGCAAAGAGAAATATAACTTTAACATCATCTCATAAAATTGCAATTTTAGGTAAGTTGAAAAGCGGTATACATGTTTCACTGCTTGCAAGAGAACTAATTATTAACAAATCAAGCAAAAAATCAAACACGGGAGAGTGGAGAAAAGACTGAATTTAGCATCAGAAACTTCAGATGATACTTTGGCTCATAACTTCACATAATACTTTAGATATTTCAATGAAACATTGTTCAAGTTTCAATAAAAAATGCTGCAACTGTAAGAGGTGAAGGATTTTCAGATATGGAAGAATGAGAAGTCAAAGAATTAGCCAAGAAATGACAAATGAACAACTGCATGATCTTATAACATTAGCCAATACTGAAAGCAGTAATAGCGAAGATAAAAGACTTTTTAAAAAGTCAAATGAAGCTGAAAAAGAGCACAGGATTTGTCTAATTTTTGCAATGGAGATAGATCAAATAAAGAAAGAAGAGGACACTTTATGAGAGGCATTAAAAAAACTATGTGCATCTATCTGTGAAACTTCCAAGAGTTGCATCAGTCATTATCCCAAGTAAAAATCACCAATCACCTTTTAAAAAGGTGATTTTTTAGAAAGTAATTGTATCATAAGCCTACTTATTAAGTAGTAATAAAAATCCTTTTCAATTAACTTCTGTTTCATTTTCCCATTTTAATTAAAATAATACTTAGGCTTATTTACATTATACATAGTTTCTTAATTTGAACTATACCTAACATAATTTTGCGCCTGAAAATGATCTTTACAAAATGAGGTTCTGCCATGCATGCAATATATTAAAACCCAGTTTGGGGAAGCGTTTATACTGTAATACAGTATTAGCAATCAAAGTATTATGAAAGCATGGATCATTTATACCATGTATAGAGATACACAGTATTTCAATCGCAACTATAAATTCAGCCGTAGCACAGTAAATAGAATATGGGTTCTCTATGATGGCATTAAAAAATGCAACATTTAACTCAACAGTACAAAATTGCTAGAGGTTGTGAAAATATGCCACTCAAATTCTGCGATTTAGCTATGAAATAAACTGCATGGCTTTATTTAAAAACACAACATAATGTTTTTTTATGATTCAAACAAGTATGCATATTTAAAATAGTTTTGTCTTCCAATGAACTTGAACAATTAAATGTTTGTTGATCACACTCTCCTAATTAATCTTATGTATATTTAATATATTTATTACACTTTTCCACATTTTCTTCCGCAATTAAAAAATCATTCTGTAAAATATAGCATTTCAAATATGTAATAATAATGTGTGTAAGTTTGCAATAAAATATGGAACAAAATTTTTCCCCCATTTCCTTAATAACATAAACTTTAAAAATTTCAAATTTTTCTCTGGTCTAATGAAATTTAAGCAAATGCAGTAAACTTCAGTTTAATTTCTACATACAAACTTGAAATATATAACTATGAATAATACATCTTAAACATATGTTTCATGATCTTATTTAGAAATTAAGGACTTTAAAGAATTTTTAAAAAACCACCATTAAAAAAAGAGAGAGAGAGAAGAAAAAGGATCTCTTATCAAAGAGAATTGAAGAAATGAAGGAGATTAATTATGCAATTGCTTTCACTCTTGCAATACTGAATAAGAATAAAATAAAAAATCTAAGATGTGTTATCATTACATGAAACATATTATTATTAAATACTATCTAATATTTAACACAACTATAAAAACAAGCTTTAAAATGTTGCTATGATGGCTTGATAGTAGGGGAGCCAAATGCCATAATTCTGGGCCTGGACATTTAGGAGAAGGTATCGATGCTTATAAATGATATTGCTACAAATTCTGTATTTATTTAGTTTGCTATTTTTAATAGAATTGTTATTAAAATTGTTTTATATTCTCATGCAATGCAACATGTGACTTATTTGAAGAGAAAGCTATGGGGAAAAATACAGGAGCATGCACATTTAATAAATAGATATCTCGTAATTGTACGCTTTTGCTTTCCAGGAAAAATCAAGAAAATACCAGAATATTCTTGTGCTGTTTAAAAAGCTTATAAAAGCGGGAGGAAAACATCTCAATTCAGTTTGTTTACTTACTGCTGTTGTTGACTGTAGCAAATTTGCGGTGAAATCGGATTAGCTTTATTGATTAAGTACTGTTGAATGTTTTAGTAGTTTAGAAGATAACTACTGTGAGATACTGTAATATTGTGAGGAAATTTAAGCATTTTGTATTTATTCTTGGGATAAGAATAAATTTTAATCACTTTTCATCGGACTTGTGCATTCAATTTATTATGATCCATATGCAAGCAACAATATCAATACCTTTGTGCAGTGCAGGCACTTAAAATACTGTTGAGCTAAAAAATCCCTTCAAGAGGTTTAATGCTAGGGAAACAGGAGTGGGAGAACCCTGGATCCCTCCCTCGGGGTGTTCTTCAGCAAAATTGGGACAGAATTTCTCCTTCCTTATAGATGTAATTCAGTCACTGCCCTGGCAGCATTCTCAGAGATGAGACAGCCCAGATGGAGAGTTTTGACCATTGGCAATGAAATCCATTGACCATTGCCAATGAATCACACCACACTGGCATAATTCCAAGTCTCATATGCCAAAACTCTTAAGATAATGTGGGAATGACCACGGTTAGTGTAGAAATGAATTTATGCACTGCTCTGTTTTTTATTTGAGCATGAAACGTTCAGAAAGAACTTATTGTAAGGATATACTATATTTTACTAAAAAAAAAAGTACAGACTGGAAAATAGCATACATAAACTTACATTTGGTCTGTTTTAGTGCAAAACTGTTTTAAAATATAAGTTGAGATATAATTACAACCTTAAATTAACATAATTAATATTCTCTGGATACATTCATATATACAGGCTTAACAAATCATATTCTATGGCCCCATCATATATCTTAGATTGGTGCTTGGATATCTAGCAGTTGGTCATTTCAAATGCAGACAGGGATAAATAATAACTAAATTATGAAAATATGACTAGAACCCATAATAGACAGTAAAACTTACTTTGCAATGATAATATGCTTGAAGAAGAGCAGTTAACGTAATTTTAAGAGCACAATGCAACTCTTGAGAAGTATGAGAATTTTCCAAACAAAGGCACAAGGTTTCTAAACATAAACCAGCTCTCTAAAAATAATACATGTATATATGCACAATAATTTTGCATGATTTGAATGTATTTATATTACATTTTGGTTATTCTCTTTTTATGTATACATATGAAATGAACACATACATAAGTATTTATTCAGTTTTAATTCTACACTTAAAAACAATAAATATATAAGTGAACACCGATTAAAAATGTTCAGTTCTTGAATGTTATCAGAAAACAGTATAATAATTAAAATTAACAAGCTAATTAAAAAACAAAATCCTATCAAATAATTTTAAAAATTAAAACTCTACAGCTAATCTATAGCTATCATTAAAAAGAACTGAACATTATATTTAAACAGTAAACCCACTTTACCTTAATTAAATACCTTTACTTTTATTAAAAATAATAATAATAAAAGTATCATGTGTAATGTACTTAATGAAGAAATATAGAAAGTCATGTAAAATTACATAGCAAATAAAGGTACTTTTTGATTATCTGCCCCCTCCTACAGATTCAATATTTTGTAGACCTGCAGTACTTTTGGCATATTTTCAAACATACACATTACAACAGCCAATCTGGGCATGCAAATATATCACATGTGCGGAAGATTCAGCAAATAAAAGAAATACTGTTCTGAAGGGATTTCTGGACAATTATCCACTAGCTGCTGAAATGCAAATATCAGCGACAAAGAATTTTTTCTTTCCCTGTAAAAATTTTGCTTCTTATAAAATGCTTTTTTTCCATTACTATTTATGAATGCAACAATTTTTAAGAGTTGTAAAGATATCCAAACAAATGTTTTTCACCAATTCATAACATCATTACTGAGTTGGATTTTTTGTCATAATGTGGATAATCAGAAAGCACCCAGATATATACGATGGACATATTTATTGGTTACATTTATATGTTTATTAGTAATAATAATGTAAGCACATATATAATGCAGCTAATAAATTTGAATATAATTAACTGAAAACGATTTAATAATTAGGTGAAAGTCATAAAGTACTGTCCACTAGAAACACTTCACAAAAGATCACATTTGTACCAGGTCTGTCTACAAAGTATCCAACATTGAATATTCCCGCTAAAAGTAGTGATGCTAGGGAGGCACCACTGTGCAGAAGTAAATAAATAATCTGAAAGCCAATTTATAATGCACAATATTAAATTAATCTAAAACAAGTAAAGTTTCTAAATAACATTTTAGGTGTCTGTTATTTGTTATTTTGTATTTTGGAGTTCAGAAAATTGTTTTTAGATTTTATCATATTTTCCTTTAATTTCAGATTTATTTTTCATTAACCTTTTTATAATCATGTTCCATATTTGCAAGCAGTTGTTCCATATTCCCATCCATAATCCAGCAACACATTTCATAGAAGACTCTCAATTAATCAACTTCTGTAAGATCGGATCTTATGTCACATAAACAAAAGGGTATTTAATCAAAAAAAATTGATATGTACACCACATTACTTCCTAATACAGCATACTACATATTACACATTGCTGCACTTCATTTAAACTTATTTCCTTGAGTTATTACAGTAATAGAGACAACAGACATAAATAATGCACATAATTTTTTCTCCACGTTTAAATGTGCAAGTTGCTGCCTGCTTACCACCTACCCAGCTGGATGCTGTTATGCACATTCATCGAGTTTTTTATTGCTCTCAAAATGACTGAACGTGCTGATAAAATTTTGTCAAAAACTTAGTGATTCTCCAAGTGAAACAATTTGTAAGATTCAGTAGGTGTTTAGAGATAATGCTATGGGGATAACACAATAAGTATTGGTTCAACTGATTTCAAATGGCACACATCAGTGGAGAGTGACCAGCATTGTTGAGAGGATGGAAACTCTGGTAACAGGAGATTGTCATTTGATTGTAAGAGAGAATGCCAAAGAGGTTAGAATCAATATAGATTTTGCACCCATAATTTCGCATGCTGATTTCAACATGTGTAAAGTGACTGAAAAAATTGTGCCCAAGCTGCTGTCAACAGAATAGAAACAACTCTGTCTGGAGGTTGCCCAGTACCTGCTGGACTTACCAGCACGATCCTGAGTACTTATGAACACCCTGATGACTGAAGATGAGTCATAATTGTATGCGTATGACTCAGAAATAAAAGCCTAGTCATCGCAATAAAAGCATCTCAAATTTTGAAGGCTAGAAAAACACGTCAGGTGAAGGAAAAACAAGGTGATGCTGTGTTGTTTGAGAGACATGGATTTGCTTCACAAATACGCACCAGTAGAACACCAACTCGATTGTAGTATCTGGCGACTGTTTGGCAATCAACAAAGTGTGCTTGGTGCATGTAGCCTCTTCTCCAAGGAGGGGTTATTGTATTTTAGGAGAGTTGCATGTTAGCCTCAGAAGAGGAAAGTATTAGATTTTGCTATGCTGTAGGAGCGACATACTGCTCTGAGTTTACTATTATGCTTTGAACGCTATTTTTAATAAATGTTTGTTTTGTCTTGTAAATGGTGCCTTATTAAACCACGAAGCCATTACATCCATGATGCAATTTGGTGCAAACAACCAGACAGAACTTTGGATGGCAAAAAACTAGGAGTTGCATCATGAGAATGTTCCAGCCCATTCATTGTACTTGATCAAGACTTGCTTGGCAAAACATGAAATTTCTGTCATTCACCAACCTCCCTGCTTTTCAGGCATGGCTCCTTATGACTTCTGGTTGTTTCCAAAATTGAACACAACATTGAAATATTGCACCTAGTGCGCAGAGAAGAGATAATGTAAAACGTAATGGCAGAGATGAACACAGTACCGATCCTAGACCTTGGCTGCCCACATGCTAATTTAAACTGGATGCCTTTTTACAGAAATATAGGCACCCAGTAAATTTAACCACCTTTTGTCATGAGCTCATTTCGGCCACCCACATGCTGTACACCATTTTGCTCCCCCCAATCCCATCACATATATGATACAATTTTCCTGGCAAAAGGTCAGATACTTTTTAGTTAGCCCTCATAGTAAACCCTACAATACAATTTTTACAATTTTAAGGTTTAATATAATATGAATTATACCTTCCTCTGAGAGAAACAGGTATTCTCATATTAAGTCTTCAAAAAACTTGACATAGTATCTTTACATATAAATGCACCTTATTTTAATGAAATTCATTTACTTTAAATATTTAAAATTACGCCTTTACAAATGTAACAAGTTTCATTTAAAATAACTGAAATTATGCCTTTACAAATGTAACAAGTTTCATTTAAAATAACTGAAATTACGCCTTTACAAATGTAACAAGTTTCATTTAAAATAACTGAAATAAATAAAACATAAAATGCCTCCTGCCAAAGAAAGTGCAAAGTGCATGAAAACATTATGCTTATAATAATAAGCTGTTCTTGTGCAAAGTAACTGGCATAAACAAATATTACAAATGAGGATGCATTCGAAAGTAGAACCAATAATTATCATCAAGCACATATCAGAGAAGAAAAAGCATTTTACCTGTAAGTTCAAAATGTTCTTATCATTATGTAGCTCTATTTCTTTCAAAGTTTCTGCGTTTCCAATATTAGAAATACCAAGCATATTAAGAATTGCTGGAATCTATAAAATGAGACAGGAGAGGGAAGATTTTGCAGATATTTATAATATAAAATATACAAATGCAAAAACTTATAAAAGGTAATATACTAAAGATTTTTAGCTTCTTCTGATGATATAACTGCTATTTCTGATAAAAATTTTCAAAAATAAAACTACAAAAATTATCCCATCAAGAATTATTTCCAAGACAACTATCAATTCTATGTAATAATAAATACAAGAGTATTTTGAAAACGCAGAATTTTAAAAAGCAAATTTACTTAATCTGTCACAGAATCTTTTATTTACTCTAATAGCATCATAAACACTCCAAGAAAATTACCAATAATTACTTATATTTATTTAGCTTCTTGAATTATTTAACAAAAGTTCCTAAGAGCATTAATATACATTTTGTAATTTAAAATAATTCAGATGCACATGTTCTTCAAAATAAAAATGAAATAATCTGAATTACTCATTCTCATATGAGTGAGTAATAAAAAATCTTGATTATATTTAAGTCACTTTCAATAAACTACAAGGTCTTTTCCACACTTCCTGTAATATGGGCATTTTTTAAGAACATAAATTATTCAGTTTGAAATCATTACAACAACACATTTTCTTCCACACAGTTTTAATGTTATTATTTAGGAAATTCAATAAACCATCAAGTATTGAATTAAGGATGCCTCCTCACTGCAAAGAAAATAAAAATATATGTAACACTTTTTAGTGTTCTAGCTAAATTAAAGTTACTTCAATGCTAGAACCTACTAGAACTGTGATGCGACTATTAAGTTCTTCTGGGTAAGTAACAACAGAAGAAGGATTAAAATACCCTTTTATTTTAATTCAAATATATTCAAAGATTGCCCGACTTGGGCATACAAATAGCCAGCACTTATGGCTTTAACTCAAAAGTAGAAAACTGAAAACTAAACTAATAAGTTAAATAATCAGCTAAAGCTGCACAGAGATATGTAACGCATAGTTGGCTCTTTGGCTAATATGACCAACATAGATTAACAGGCAATTAATATGTACAGTCATAAAATAGCAAGCTTTAACTAGTAGCGAATGACATCACTGAAAGGCAGAACACACTCTGAAGTGTCTCGTGGAATGTGAACAACTCTCCAACAAAACTGTAAATGACCTTTTGCGTCTGAATTTTTCCGACTTTGATACATCAGACTGTGCATGTGTGGATAATGTTTTAGAGATTCTATCATCTCTGGCTGCTCAACTTGATGCTAAAACTGAAGTTATGAAGATTTACACGACTTCAGATAAGTCTACGCTACTTAGCTCCAAATGGATAAATCACCTGTAAATCTAGCCATACAGGTGAAAAAGCTCCGCCATGAACACAAGCAAACTATCGCTGCTCAAACGGAATGTGTATGGATACTCAAAGTTAAGTATGAGCCTTTAGTTTTAAATAGAGGCAAACTGCCCAGGTCTAGATGTAGTGTTGATAATAAGTGTAAAAATATTGACTGTAATTGTCATAGTTTATTAGTTAAACCTATAAAAACTGCGAAACGTAGGAAATCAGTTAAAGCTAATTTGCCCCTGGCAAATAAATTTGAATGTTTAAAAGTTGATCTTAATAATACTGCATCTGATGTACCTATTAATTTTGCTACTGCTAATGCAAATGATACTAACTGTGTTGATTTTAGTGTAGTTACTCCTATAGATTCTGATTGCACTAATTCTAACATAGTTAATTCTAGTGAAAATTCTGCTTCTCCTAGTATAGCTGGTGTTGCTAACATTAATTCTAGTTCTAAAACTGCTCATACTGTAGAGGATAAGAATATGTCTAATAATATACCACCTACTATGGATTGGATTGGATTATTATTCAATTATGGCAAAGCACACGAGGGCTATCTGCCTAAAGAGAGGGATGCCTTCGTGGAGGACGTTCTAAGGGAAACTGGTTTGTATACACGTTACACATGGGGAAAACCACGAAAACGCCCATGCAGGCAGCTCATTTGCGGGATTCGAAACTCGGACTGAACTATCAGTGTTCAGCGTCTTTTACCGCTCGGCCGCTGGTAAGCCTTCCACCTACTATGACTGTTAAGTATAGCATTGTTCCTATATATACATTCAACAAGTGTAGTATTTTTTTTCCCTTTAGTTTTACTTTGAGTGGCAACAGTTGTGTTCGAGAATAAACATACTCATGAAACACAAACACTAAGCTTTAATGGACTGTAGCTTTATTTCTTTTAACTTATGTTTGGATGGACACTCTTGCCATCGCATAGGTGCACCTCCCATCACGCAATCAAGCACAATAATCATGGCCGCTAGCTCCCACGTTGTCGTTTTTTCCCATCGTGGTTGCCAGATCACTTCTGCCTTAACATACAGCCCGGGTTGGGCATTTGTTACATAGTTAACAATGACTGAAATTAAACAGTTTTAAATCACCATATAGTCCAAATCATATATCAGAAAATTTAAATTGATACACATGAACAAAAGCAATAAACATAATTAACCACAGAACATGAAATGCACAACATCTAAATTAAAATACAATGCATATATATAACAATTTTTTGAACTCAGGAAATATACATGAAATTATGTAACATCTACTGGTAGTACAGCTAATTTAGTTATTGGTCTTTTTAAAAAATCTGACTTGGTTTTTACAATACAAACTCTAACCTTTTTATCCTTACCATAAATTACCTCTTCTACTTTACCCAGTAACCAAGTCGAAGTGGGCATGTTGTCTTCCTTTACTAAAACTATAGTGCCCTTTTTAACGTTATCCTTAGAGAAATACCACTTAAATCGTTGCTGTAAATGACTGATGTAATCATTTTGCCATCTTTTCCACAAATATTGCGTTACTTTAGTAGTGCGCTGCCAGCGCTTTAAAGAACTATCAGAAAAATCAGTTAAATCAGGCTCTGTTATTGATGTTAAAGGTCGCCCGACTAGAAAGTGTGCAGGTGTAAGAGCTTCTAAATCATTGGTGTCATTTGACAAAGGGGTATTTGGACGCGAATTTAAAATTCCTTCAATCTGGTTCAAAATTGTAAGAAACTCCTCAAATGTAAAAATCAATCTCCCAACTGCACGCTTAAGATAAAACTTAAACGACTTAACACCTGCCTCCCAGATACCTCCAAAGTGAGGAGCCCTGGGAGGGATAAACTTCCAATGAATTCTTTCAGATGTCAGATATTTGGTTAAGAATTCATCAGGGTATTTCAACAAATTGTAGAGTCGCTTCAATTCATTGCTAGCCCCAACAAAATTTCGAGCGTTATCGCTAAATAAGGTTGCGCATTTACCCCTTCTAGAAATAAATCGCTTCAAAGCAGCAATAAATGATTCTGTAGACAAATTTGAAACGATCTCGAGGTGGACTGCACGAGTCAAGAGGCAAACAAAAATTGCAACATAAATCTTGTGCACTACGCTCTTCTTCTGAGTTGTATACTTTATACCAAAAGGACCACAAAAGTCAACACCAGTATGGTTAAAGGGAAAGGATGGATTCAGTCTCTCTAATGGTAAATTTCCCATCTTTTGATCCAGCAATACTGGTTTTACTTTGGCACACGTAACACATTCTCTTACTATCTTTCTAGCAAGATTACGCCCACTTATCGGCCAAAATTTTTGCCTAACACTATGCAAGAGCGCTTGTGCTCCAGTATGAAAGTTTCGAATATGGTAGTGTAACATAATTAAATGAGTCAGTTTATGATTTTTTGGCAGGACAGCAGGGTGCTTTGTGTTAAAGGGTAAGTTAGCTTCCTGCAGTCTACCACCTACTCTAATAACTTGAGATTCATCTAAAAAGGGACATAAAAATTTTAACTGACTATTTTTACATACTTCCCTTCTCTTACTTAAGTTCTTGAATTCTTCAGGAAAGTTTTTGACATTGGACTAAGGAAAGTAATTTATTTTCGCTTAACGAAACCTCATCTACTGTCAGATGACCTACTTGTTTTTCCTTGGATCTACAATTTCTTATAAATCTTAAAAACATAAGCAAAAACATTAATTAATTTAGCATAACAATTAGTAATACTAAAAACATAATCCAAAAGAGAATTTTTAACAGTTACGGTCAAATTTACATTAGAAATAAGTTTCAGTTCGCGCACATAGTTCTCATTTGAATTTTCAAAGTTATTATTAACACTATAATTAATGACCTGTTGATGCAGAAAATTTGGTCCTTGAAACCACAAAGAGTTGTCAGCAGCAATAATTTCCGGTCTCAGACCGCGAGAAATTAGGTCAGCGGGATTGTCTGCTGGTTCTGACATGTTGCCAGCAGAAATCCTTAGTTAGCTCTTGGATCCGAGCTACTCTATTTGACACAAACACTTTTAGAAGATGAGGAGATGTAGCAATCCAAGCTAACACAATTGTTGAATCTGTGTACAGAATAACTTTGTCAACATATAAACTCAAAGATGTTATTACCTTACACACAAGTTTGGAAAGGAGCTCTGCTGCACACAACTCCAGACGAGGAATGGTTATTACCTTGATAGGCGATACTCGAGATTTGCTGCAAAGTAAAGTCACTTTAACTTCGCCAATTTTAGAGACACAGCGCAAGTAAATTACTCCACCATATCCAAACTCTGAAGCATCAGCAAAACAGTGGAGCTCAATTTCTTTAATTGATTCTATTAGAGTGCAACGAGGGACTTTGATTTGTTTCAACTCTGGTAGGGCCTTTTGAAATGTCTCCCATTCTTGTTGCTCTTTGAAAGGAAGTGGATCATCCCACTCTAGATGTAAAAGCCACAGCCTTTGCAGGAATATCTTAGCACGCATGATTACACAGCCCTAGGAAACCTAAAGGATCAAACAGTTTAGCAATATCTGCCAAAACCGTGCGTTTTGTACAGATTTTTGACGAACTAGACACAGTAAAACTAAAAGAGTCTTCTTCTGGATTCCATCTTAAACCCAGAGTCTTTACGGTGCTTTGTGAAGATTCTCCAAAACGA